GAAGAATCAATATCCATTATCGAAGGATTCATCGCATGTTGACTAAGGTGTGGATGTATTTGCTTCGGTTTTGTCAACCGGGGTGGTTGTGATTGAGGCGGTTGAGATGGTGGCGGTTGTGTTCGGGGGGATGGAGGTAAAGTTTGTGACAGAGGAGATTGTGGTGGTTGCTGTGAACTCGGCGATTGGGGATTATTGTGAAGTTGTTGGAGTTGTTGTTGCATCACTTGGTGCGAAATTTGTTGTTGTTGCTGGGGAGGTGATGTTATGATGGAACCGTCTTGCACATGACTCGAGGAAACACCGGTAGAATTCGAAAGAGGTGAAGAGGGTGATTGAGAAGACGCAGTTGCAATTCGATTATAATCATTGCCTTTATAATAAGTGATATCAATTATAAGAAATGAAAGGTTAAACAAACATCCATGATGCGAAAGTTTTAACATGATGATTCTACCGCCCCCGTCTGATCTATGTAACGATTGATTGATCGTTTGTTTGTTGAGGACGAACCTTGCGTTCCCAGGTAACTTCTAGGCGAATTGTAAGGCGATTGAGGTGACATGTGCTGCATGGATCCAGTATTTGAATTAGTTCCAAATTTTACGCTAGATAATTGAGTCAATGTATTAAACCGATTCATTAAATCCGTTTTATTGGTGGTGTCCTTTGATGATAATAAGTTTGTGATCTTGTTCATTTCGTTTCTTAATTGTTGAATATTTTGTATATTACTATATTCTGGATACACTAAAACCCTCGGTTGCTGTGAAGCCAAAGGTGACGGCCCCGCCGAAGAAATCATTCGAGGCATTTGATGGGGAGAAGGGGTTGATGCTGGTGGTGTGGTTTGTTGGTTCGTTGCCGGAGTAAACTGAAAATTACCCAGTTGATTATTCCTTTGATGCTGTTGCAAAGCTTGAATCGTATCTATATAATTCTTATAGGCTACTTGACCCTCCGGGGTATCTTTTCCATATTGGTTGACCTGATTAAGATAGTCATCAGCCATTTTACTCAATGCTTGGGGTAACTCGTTTTTCTCGGTTGTTATTAGCTTGGGACGAACTCCTGTCGTCTTCTTATTTACACCACCAGGTTTTTTCTTCCCACCACCCCTTGCAGCCACTGATGATGGCCTTATATTCACGGAAACAGCGGAAGCCGGCTGTATCTGAGGAGTCGTTGATGGTTGTTGGGAAGTGGTAGTTGCTTGAGGTAACGGCGATCCCGGCGCTTGCGATAAGGATTGTGGAGGCTGTTGCGGAGTTCGCTGCTGATTTTCCTGTTGATTTTGTAACGCGTTTTGTGAGGCTTGCTGAAAACTCGAAAACTGATCGCTCGTATTGCCAGCGTTTGTGGTCGGTTGTGCATTAGGTAAATTCGAAGAGGGTAAATTTTGATTTTGTTGTGACATTCCCACGTTGACTCACGTAAGCTGAGATTCACCAAACTCGAAGCTTCAACTTGAAGTTGCGTAAATGATCTACCTTACTTTCACACAACTTTATATTAAAACAAGTCAAAAATATTTGTGCGGTGTGCCTGCTGTTTACTGTTGCACTATTTAATATCACGTGACAAACGGACGGAAGCAAAAAAAAACATGACGTCATCGCAATCGCACAAATCAAAGTTAAATGGACAGTATCTACTGGTTTAACAAAGAAGTGCATGTTTTATTTTACAATTACATTTTAGATATAATTCATCACCAACTGACGCCCAAGGACATCATTTTTACATAATTATTAAGTTGTCGAATGAAAAAAAAAAAAAAAAAGGATTACTATATAAAAGGGATAATGAAGGAAATGCATATTATAATATAATAAAATTAATTAACTAATTAATTGAGGGCAACAAGGAGAGAAGCTCATTGACCCTTAAAATCCCAAATCCTTATTTCTGCATCCTCACCGCCCGTTATTATTTTTGTATCTCCCAGAGCAACACAATTAACAGCACCGGTGTGACCATATAAAGTGTGCAGGCATCCACCTTCAGAATCTTTATCCCAAATCTTGACCGTGTGATCTTGAGCCCCACTCACCAAGCGTAATTTATCCACGGCCAAGGACCATACACCTTCTTCATGACCAAACAGGGTCCTAAGACATTTACCCGTTTGAATGGACCAGATCTTGATGATATTATCCAAAGATCCAGAAATTATTACGGGATGCAAATTTTCGGGGTCATCCTTTTCTTTCACAGAATTTTGAGTTTCAACGAAATTTCTCCGGTCGACAGAAACTAACAATGAATAAGCCGGTTGAATGCATTGAATCGGAGCATTGTGACCTCCAAGAATGCGCGTGCACGTTCGCGACTCCAAATCCCAGAACCGTATGGTGTGATCATCAGAACAAGAGAATAATTGGGTCTTCTGATAAATCGCCACTCGGTTTACCCATTCCTGGTGGCCAGTCAGAGTAAAACATTCGCATGTGAAAAAATTCCACACTTTTATGTTATTATCGGCAGAACCGCTGACAAGGACGTTGTCATCGAAATGAAGACACAGAACCCCATCGGTATGACCTTCAAGTGTTCTCAAGCATTTTCCGGTGTGATAATTCCATATCTTCAAGGTGTGATCCATGGAACAAGTGACAAGTTTTTTATCATCGAATTGTAACGCCCTCACGCATCGCGAATGTCCCGTCAACACCCGAACAAGTTCCCCACTATCTATGTTCCACAGGCGAATAGATGTATCATAAGAGCCGGTGATAAGAAGGTTGTTGCAATCGTCGAATTGAAGACACATCACTCCGTCGGTGTGACCTCTTAGCACACGCACACTGTAACGACCTTTACGCCAATTACGTTCTACAACTTGTCGCTCAGCGTAAACGTGTTTCCAAGAACGCCCCTGACGATTTTCAGGAATCGATAGTGATGAAAACGAAGAGTCAGACAAACGGGTGCGTTTAACTTCACGAATTTCTTCTGAAGATTCGTATTCCGAAGCATTCGGCGTAGAAGGCGAAGTATTGGAAGTTGATGATGGAGTTGAGGGCTGCGAATGAGATATGGAAAGTTGTTGAAGATCATGAGAGACAGAAGGGGTATAGCATGATGTGGCAAAGGTCATGGCGGATCGTTTTTTACTAAACTTTCTCTCGAACAGGGATGGGAGACCCCAACCGCATTTTGTACACTTTTTGTTGATGTGCTGTTCACATAGCCTATGCCAAATGAAGTCGTTGTCAGCAAACTGTCGCCACGATTTGCTCACTTGGGCAGCACGACACAAAGAGATTGCGTCCAGATAGGATAAAATGTGGAAAGAAAGCTCCTTTGGAAGAGCGACAATAAAGTCGATCTTGATGAGGTTTTTGAGACTATGAGACAGAAAGGATAGTTGAGGAAGACAACATTGGTACAAGATCCCTTGAAGAATGAGAGTGCGAGTCGAAGGGAGAGCAACGGAAAATCGAGACCATATGGTTTTAACTGCTTCCTGTTGTTCTTCAGGTAAATATTCGACTTGCTACCGGGCCAGGAAGAGAGATATTAGCAAACCATGAATTATTATAATATAACAATTACAATGTAAAAGAATATAATGAAGAAAAAAA